TATTGTAGCTCATATATGGACTGGATTCTTGTCCTCCTCATTCTGAGCTCTCCTTGACTTTTATTCTTACCTCCTGTAACTTTCATTCTTTAACTCAAAAAAGGCCATTATTTCAGCCATTTTCACTGTTTTCTTATCCTTCCTAGTTTCTTTTCTATACTATTTTTCCACTCTTTTTTTTCTGTACTATTTTGCCCTTCTCTCCATTTTCCTAACTGCTGGATTTCCCCAATTTTAGCCATCTTTCAATTGTTCTGGCTATCCTCAGATGCTCCCTCAAGGTTATCAGACCTTCCACCGAGACGGAATCCCTTAGTCTTTGGACAGGCTAAGTGGAATGGGTCCTGTTACTGGGCTTAGCATATGCCCTGAATATTCGTGCATTTATTTTGCTTCTTTACAAAAATCCATCATCCGATAGAAATTGAAAGATACTTCCTAAAGCATATTAAAATCTCTGAAAACAGTATTGACTATATTGTCTAATAATTAACATGACTGGTAAAATAGCTTTATTTATCATTGAGGAAAGTATCAGAAACTGTATTTCAAACTCCTGAATTCTTGACACTGACAAAGAGACAATGAGAATGATCTTAGGATTTAAAAAATAAAGAAGAAAAAGCACCATATTTGCAGGAAATTGCACCATAAAAGTCTCAGTTTCACAACCCTCCTCAAGTTTCATTTTATTACATCTTTTCTCTTCACCAGTCAGTAAACTGGGTTAATGATTAACCTGTCTCAAAATAATTCATGAACAAAATTACAAGTAAATCTCAGTATTGGATTTTTGAAACATCTCCTTGTTCAAAGAAGGTTCCTTTTTCTTCCCTCTATTTCCCAGTATTTATCTTTTCTTCCAATTGCATTTTATCTCTTCTGTTTTTCTATTTTGCTCCCTAGTTTGTGTTTTTTTGCCAGTTTTTTATTTCCTACATAATTCATCCAATTTGTCATTGTACAATTTCTTATAACTGCTTCTTAGCTTATTCCTTTTCTTCATTTGTCACATTTTATTTTTCATCTGTTGTGTTTTCATACAGTTTTGGAAAGTTTTACAAATAGACTTTTTAAAAAATGTATATAATGCTTTCATAGAAAAGGTAGTTGTTTCTTTTTCTTATATCCTTCCCTGTATAAAAATAAAAATGTAGCAGTTCTGTCTTTGCCTGTATTTCCTCTTTCCTTCTCCAAATTTGACCAGACTTGAAGGACTTAGATATATAATAGTGTTATTTTCTATAATTTAGGAATACCTTTTGACTTAAAAAGCAGAAGAGAAGTTGAAAATAATATAGTAATTCTACATGTCCTTCCTGCTTCCCTATTCTCTCCACATGTTTGTAACCTCCCCTTTCTTTTTTAGTGTATCTCTTTCATAAACCTTTGTCCCCAGAAATTCTGATTCAGTAGACTTAAAATGGAATTCTGGGCTTTTTATATTTTGAAAAGCTCCCCATGGGAGTTAGATATGCACTTCTTATTAAAAAACGAATGCTTAATATTGAAATCAAAACACAATAAGCTTTCTAACTATGATGAATAATCCAACAGATTTAATTATGATTTTCTTTTTGTCTAGAACCAAGACTAGATGTTAATTGCCAGAGAAATAGATAAGAATGACTATGACAACAGTACATTAATATGATATCAAAGCTTGGAAATTTTATTGGTAATGAATAATTCAGTACTTAAAATATTTAGAAGCTATAGAATTAAAATTAATTAATGTAGTTCACTGTGTGAATAAAGTTGATTGAGATTTTACATTTAATTTTGTAAATCCAATGTTATCTTTTCCAGCTCAGAAAACACCACGTACAAGTTATTACTTTCTGTTTTGATCCCTTATTTTTCTCTCTTATGCTTTATCACTGAAAACTCTCCTTGAGCAGGCGATGCACTGTAAATATTTCTCGTGGTTGCAAAACCTCTTCATACAAATGCAGTAGACTATTTAATGAGCTCTTCTTTCACAAAATTAAAAAATACCTGAAAGCCCTGATTTGAGATTCTATATAAATGAGATTTAGATCTAACAATTTTAAATTATTGCTTCGCTCTTAGCTATTCAATTCTATCTCTTGTTTGGGAAACCGAAATAATAAAACCATTGCTGATTCTACAATTAGGTTGTAAAAGTCACTGTAGCCATCAGCCATGAAGGAAAAGGGCCAAGTTCAAAACTACAAAGCAAAGAGACTGAGATAAAAAATGCTGCAGCAGCTTTAGTTTATGGCATTATAAGCAGGAATAAGAATTCCTTGATTACTTAACAAAGACTCAAAAGGCATTTACTCCATTACCTTACAATTCAAAGTGGTACTCCTGGACCAGCAGTATTGGCATTTTTTTTGAAGTTTGTAAGAAATACAGAATTTTGGTGCCTCCACGGACCTAATGAAGCAGGACTTGCAGTTTAATAAGATCTCCAGGAGATTTTTATGCACATTAAAGTCTAAGAAGCACGGCTATGGTATACATCTGATGTGTGCCCATGCATTTTTTAAAAGTATGAAGTATAGTTGTAAGTATTGAACACTCATGAAGGAACAAATATGAGCCATGGTCTTTACCCTCTAAATACCTCCCTGATGTCTATGTTTTAGGCAAAAATTTTTTACCATTTCAGTAGTCACTGATGCTTGCATGATCCAGTTTATTCCAAAACAATGGTGATTCTCATGTAATAGTTCATGTTGCCTTAATAATTTACGTTGTCTCAAGTTCTCTGCCCAGGCCCCAATATACACCAAGGGCTGTACTCGTCCCCTAACTCCTGCTCTCGTACAGTGACATAGAGCCCAATTTTAAATACCTGGTCACATCATGGAGATAGCATACCACAGGCCTTAACTTCTGCCACAATCTCACTGCCTTTAACCCTCCATATGCCTAAGTCCTATGCTTCTTTAAATTCCAAATTTACCCAGAAGTCTCCTCTGCTCATCCTTTTCACTGAGATCATCCCTCTTCTGGCCTACCATGTATTGATCACCTTACTTTTTTATCCTACTGTATGTAGTATAACAAATTATCACTTACAACTGTGTCTTATTTTTTCAACTAGATTATGTACTGCCTAAGACCTAGAAAATTGTGCTTCTTTATTTGAATCTCTAGGAGGATCAGTAATAAGTATTAATACTAATGACACTAAGGTGATGATGAGCCTGAATTTCCTCCCTTCCTTTCTTCCTACTTCTCTCCTTTCCTCCCTTCTTTTCTTCCTCCATTCCTTCCTCTGTTCCTTCCGCCCTCCACTTTTTCTTCACTTCCCTTATTCATAAATTCATGCATTCACTCAGCAAATGCTTATTGAAACCTTCCACGCACCAGACATTGTACTAAACAACAGGAAACAATCATGAATAAGACACAATATCTGACCTCAAAGAATTTATGATATAAAAGTAATGGCAAAAACCGTGATTACTTTTGCACCAACCTAATATATAGACACAGTTTGTTATGACTGGTGTCTCTGTTACTAAGCAATGACTGTCACATGCAACACTGATCTGAACAGGTGGTAAAGAGTGAGATGTAAGCAATGGAGCAAAGCCAACTAGTTACAAGGAAATATCACATGTTTACTAGAGCACATCTCATGGGCATTCAAGAGAGTATGGCCAGGACAGCTTGTGAATAGTTCAGTAACTGTGCATAGTTTTATATTCATTGTGAGGTACCGTGTCACTGGAATAATGACCTTGTTATCATTTTTTGCTGATTTACAGAGTATTTTAATTGTTAAAAGTAGGCTACCAAAATTTCCAGTATTTAAAAATAATTTTGCTTGAATGTAGTAAAAAAAAAAAAAAAAAAGGCAAGAAATTTATGTGAAATGAGAGTCTAAGGGAGCTTTACCTCAGTCTCAGAAAACATGCATTCGTTCCTTCATTTAGCAAGCATGTACTGGTGTCTACTATAAGCTTGCTATTGTGTCAAGGAGTAGGAGAATATAAAAATATTAGAGAATTTGAATCACATCTATTAGGAGAATTTTCTACATATTGACATTATTCTGTCAGTGACACAAGGATTTGAGTCATTTAGATTTAAATATGGTAGGTATCTCAAGTTCTCAGATATTATTTCATTTTCTAAGGTTCATATTTAGTTAATATGTTATTTTAATTGCCTTACAAATTCTAGATTATCTTTTTTAAAAAAGTTAAATAGAACGTAATGGCCAGTTTTATTTAATGGTAAAAAGCATTTTTGTTTTTGTGTGTACTTGGTTATAATATTCTCCTTTTCAATTGAACTATTTTTCTGATACTTTACTCTTAAAATTTCATTCAGGAAAAAAAGTAAACTAAGCTTGACAATCATAAAAATGTTCTGGTGACTATAGATTATTTTAAAATTTATTACTGTACCTTACGGATATCTTGATGGGATGCTCCTGAAAGCAATTAATTCTCAGTTTTATGTGGCTTATAATGCAAAATACATTGATGTAGACAGAATTTGAAATAAAGTTTCTTCTAAAATAGCAATTAATTTTATTTAAATATCTCTAGAGGTTTTTTAAATACTGTGACTAAACTATATTTGTTCTTTTTCACGTCTCTTATCCACAATCACTAAGAAACCCAAATACTTTGTTCATGTTTAAATTTTACAACATTTCATAGGCTGTTAAACATGGAACATCCTTGTGGGGACAAGAAATCGAATTTGCTCTTGAGAAGGTTTCCAGCTAATTGATTTGTAGGACATTATAACATCCTCTAGCTGACAAGCTTACAAAAATAAAAACTGGAGCTAACCGAGAGGATGCTTTTTTCCCTGACACATAAAAGGTGTCTTTCTGTCTTGTATCCTTTGGACAGGGGCATGTCAGTTTCATAGGGAAATTTTCAAATGGAGCTTTTATATTTCTTTCTTTGCCAGTACAACTGCATGTGGTAGCACATTGTTTAATCTTTTCTCAAATAAAAAGACACGGGGCTTCATTTTTGTTTTGCCTTTTTGATATCTTACAGGAACTCCAGGATGGCATCGGGCAGCGGCAAACTGTTGTCAGAACATTGAATGCAACTGGGGAAGAAATAATTCAGCAATCCTCAAAAACAGATGCCAGTATTCTACAGGAAAAATTGGGGAGCCTGAATCTGCGGTGGCAGGAGGTCTGCAAACAGCTGTCAGAAAGAAAAAAGAGGTAGGGTGACAGATCAAATAGGAATTATAACATTTTAGCAGACCTTTTTAAGCTGTCCTTAAAAAATATTTCATTGTAGATTAGAAGCAGGGTGAAAGGCACTAACAGTAAGGAACCTATCAACCGTTAATCAACAGCAGTAAATACATTTTTTATTTTTTATTTTTATATACTAAAATATGTACTTGTTGCTGGTTAGTGGTTTTCTGCTATTTTAAACTTTAAGTTTGCTTTAAAAATCACACATGATTGCTTAAAGGTGAATATCTTCAATATATTTTAACTTCAAGTGAAAGGCACTAACAGTAAGGAACCCATCAACCGTTAATCAACAGCAGTAAACAAATTTTTTATTTTTTATTTTTATATACTAAAATATATACTTGTTGCTAGTTAGTGGTTTTCTGCTATTTTAAACTTTAAGTTTGCTTTAAAAATCACACATGATTGCTTAAAGGTGAATATCTTCAATATATTTTAACTTCAAGCTGAATCTCAGTTGTTTTTCAAGAAGATTTTAAAAAGCAATTATAAATGATTGTTTTGTAAGAAAGACAGATCTTTGCTTAGTTTTAAAAATAGCTATAATTATGACTATGAAGCTAAAAACAGTAATAGTGATATTTACTTCTAGTTTCACCACATTTGTGAATACATTCTTGAAGGGGAACTTGAGCCAAAAATGTCCAAGTTTAATGGGGAAAACAAAACCTCAGAAAGGTTACCGTCAAATTCAATCATCATTTAAATTTCCCTTGGAATGAACTGAAGGCACAGAAAGCCAAATGGTTGGTGCTGCAGTTGGAAAGCATAGATAGTTTATAAATGGGATTTTGTATTATGCTTCCAGTTGTTGATGTTAATGTGTCTTGTTTCATAAAGGAAGACTTGGCCTTTATTTACCAAATGAGAATATTGTTATGAGCAATGAAAACTTTGTTCTGTTGCCAAGCTCTTGCATCCCACCCATCATCCACATAATAGGTGGATTTTAATATTCAGGAAGCTAGAACAACTCATTGATGAATGTCTTTGGTTAAGATGTATTAAAAAGAAGATTTTAGAATTATGCCAATTGTCTTTGCCCACCTCCTCTTTCCCTCTTTATTCATGTTACATTATTCAGAAAGCAGACAAAATTCATATTTTGTACAAAAGAAACACATTAGTTGACCTAAACACACACACACACACACACACCACACATCTTGCCAAAGTTAAAGAATAATAGCCTCATCGAAAGATATTTTGTATTAAGTCTTGGTTTTGAAAATCTTCTTGGTTATAGATAGATAAAATAAAGAACTAAACTTTGTAGTTAAACTGCTTCCTTAGGTAAGTCATATACTTTTTTCCCAGATTGAAATTCTTCTATTAATCATACAAGTATGTGATTATTTAGATAACTGACATGCTTATACTATGAACAGGTATAAATCTGTATAATGTCATTTCTCAACTAGGCTCAATCTAATCCAAATTAAAATAGTAAGAAATGAGAAAATTAACAAAAAATTGAATACCATACTATAAATATATATATATAGGGAGAGAATTCATAAAGTGAATTGAATCGATTGGAAGATTATTTTTCTATAATATATAAAGTATTATTTCCTATTTTTAAATGTCTTACTCATATAGTATTTGAATAGAGAGTATTAATATTCCCTCTGATAACTCTAATTCACTTGAATTTTCAAAATCTTGTTATCTGTTATTGGGCCCTAAAGGCACGTTATAATTTATAAACAGAGATGTAGCAATATGCCTGTTTCACCAGATAAGCTCTAAAACTTTAGATCTTTCTAATTTTATAAGAAAGTGGTATATGCTGACTCTGTTGTTAAATATTATACAAATTTTATGTTAATTACAGCTAGGGATTTGGCTATAATTAGGAAAAAATTTTCCCATTTAAACATGTTGACCTACATTAAATATTGCACTTTTGTGCTTTAAAAAGCCAAGTTCAGCTTCCTTGAGTTTTTTTTTTTTTAAGCTCAGCTTTTAAAGTTGTCTATTTCACGCTACATTTTAAAAATAAATGTTAACATATTTAAATTTCCACTGAGATCACTTTTGTGGCATGCTTCCTCAGGATTTTTATATCATTTAAATTTTATGAAATGTAAAAATGTAATAAAATATAAGTGCTAGTTCTACCAATATACTCATAGCTATTTTTAAAAATCCAGTAGCAAATCAAGTAAAAATAATAAAATAATATTTTATGAATAATATGTTAACCTAACAATTACAGAAGGGCTGTAAACATGAACCTACTGCTAATCAATAGTGTACTCTCAGTGCAAGCCAAGCAGAAGTTAGATGGAGATAGAAGTTATTTATTGCACAGGTGAAAAATAAGATGCCTATTCAACTTAACAACAGTACTCTTAGTTTGTAATGGACTTTAAGTACAGCGGTTAGAAATATTTAACATGTTTTAGTCCAGGGACATCAATGAAAGAAAGTGTATAATTCAAGCTAGATATCTATATGGAGGCCTGTAGTTGCATAATTTTAAGTCTTTTGAAATTTTAAGATATTAGAAATAGAAAAAACATCTCAAAAGTTCAAATAATAGTGGACATCCATTAAAGTTAGTCTATGTTGGAAGCAAATGAAGTATGAAATGTAGTCAGTTAGCTATGCAGTTTAAGATAGACAATTCACTACTGCTCCAATTATGTAACAGAAGAACTGGATAATATCTATAGGTTTAAGCATGATAATAATGAGTTTAATGATGGCGTAGTCACCAAAACTATCTTTGTAAATGAAGGATGTGCAAATAAAAACCTATCGGCTATAAGGGGAAGTCATATGTTAATACAAAACAAGTCTGTGTACAAGTCTTTAAGCAAGTGTCCATGAATAGCAAGGGGTGCCATGCTCTTCATTGGAGAAAAAAAAATTACCTATTTGTCTTTACTAACCTCTAACTGAAATTGAGCATTCCTTTTCATTTTGAATGTAGGCAAAAAAAAAAAAAAAAAAAAAAAAAAAAAAAAAAAATCACAGTAATACTAGTAATACCTATGAAGCCACAGATAAGTGCATATCTCATTAGAGTTACAATAAATATATCAAAATATCATTTATGCTTATTACTACTTAAAAACTGCAGTACGTATTATATCTACTACAGGATCTTATTACTGGGCTTTAAAACATTATTCTGAGGAATCTCAGGCTTCAACAGATTGCCAAAGAAGTCCAAGGCATAAACAAATGATCCTAGCCTGCTGTCTGCCCAGAATCTCATCCTAATTTACTGTGGTTTCAGTCATTTTAATGAACAGTCACTATGTTCATACACTCCTTTTCTTCTGGAGCGTTCTAGAAGACGCACCAGTCAAGGGATTCTGGGGAGCCAGGCTTTCAAGCAATGGATTGCTGACAACATAATGAAGAGGATTTTACTTAGAATAATCTCAGTTGATAAAAGATTGAATGTGAGATAGAAGCAAGGCAGTGGGAAGTGGAATTCCTAAACTGAGGAAGCTCCGAATCATAACCCTTAGCAATAATAAAAAGATTTCAAAACATTATAGTTCTTTCTTCTTTTAGACAAGTCTGATATTGCTTATCCCATTTCACAGATAAGGCAATTATTCCACTAATATGCATTAAGGAATAGTGATTTTAATTTAAGTGTTACCTTAATGAAAATATTTTTGAATTTTTTCTTTCCCCAAGTCTTTTTGTGAACAATTTCAAACATACAGAAAAACTGAAAAAATAGCAAAATGTATGCCCATATACACTCTTTTCCTCCCCCTGAATTCTTAGAGTCAACAATTATTAACATTTTGCCACATTTGCTTTTTCTCTCTCTCTACCCCTTCTGTGTCTCTCATATATAGGACATCTCATACACACACACATACACACACACATACACACACACACACATACACACACACATACACACATACACACACATATACACACACATACACACACACACACACTTTTTAAAATATTTGCAAGTAAGTTATAAATACCACTATACCCCTAAATAATTCAGTATGTGTCACTTTGAAATACAGACATGCCATATATAACCATGCCTGTTTATTACACTCTCCTCCAAATTAAATATAATACTACATTATTATTAATATCCATTGCATATTCATATTTCCTTCATAGTTCAAAAATGTCTTTTATATTTTGCAGGGGAGTTAGTACCAACATCTTATCATGGCTCATGCATTACATTTGGCTATTATGATTTTTTATCCTTTTTAGTCTAAAATAGCCCTTTCACATTTTTTTCACCAATATTGAAATTTGAAAATGTACAAGACACCAGCCTCAAAAAACGTCTCATCTTTCAGGATTTGTTTTATTTTGTTTCCCCTGATGGGATTACTTAACTTGTTCTCTAGTCTCTGAATTTCTAGTAAAACGGAAATTAGGTCTAAATAAGACTTCAGGAGATGCATGTCAAACATTTTTGGCTAGAATATTTCGTACAAGATGCTGTGTATTTTGTATTACATCACATCAGGAGCTGCATCATACGAAGTAGTCTCACTAAATGCTGCAAAGTTGTATTACTTGCTTCAGGTGGTGACTGACAGATCTTGCATTATAATGTCACATATTTTCTGTGCAATTAATAAATCATCTAATGGCTTTAGTATCCATTGATGATCCTTCCCTAACTCCCTTATTACACTGGGGCTTGCAAAATGGAGATTTTCCTAATCTAACATGATCTTAAATTTACCAGCTGACTTTCTTCTGTTAAAAAAAAAAAAAAGGTTTTTCCTCGATATTTATGTCAAAATGGACTCATAAATTTTTATTTATTCAATTTATTATTATGAATTACAGTTATTATTCTTGCCCAGAGCTTCCTGCTCAATTGTCCCAGGCTCACCTTGGACTTTTCCTACCCCAGATTTAGAAGTACCCATTTTTTTCGAGGAACTTTGGTTACTTTTAGAGGTGAGTAGTACATAGAAACCTACATCTGGGTAGTA